TAAAATTACTTTAGAAAGAATATAATAACTTATTAATATAATAACAATATATAACTATAATTATATAAATAATATAGTCTGGCTGAAATGCGAGACTATACTATTAAGAACTTCCTGGGATTCCGATGACGGTCGTAGTCTGAAATACCCGAAACCTACTAGGTATCCACATATTTCACGCGTACTCTTGGATGCTGTGATGCACAGGCAAGTGCACTTCCGGTCAAAAAACGATCTCGTAATCGGAGCCCTTAATCAACAGCGTTTTGGAAGAATCCGGCAGACAGTCTTCACCCAGCGGCTGAGCACGTGCCCCCCGATTGGAGAATTGGAAATCTCTCGATGACGCAGAAGAAACCGAAGAAGAAACGAGAGGCCAGCGAGAGGGAAAGTGAAAAGCAGATACTCGAACATCAAAAAAGTCTAATCAGACCCAGTGCAACAAGTACACATCATGCTCGCGGTCTTCGAAGATTTAAACTCTCTATCTGTGTCATTGACAGACGCGTCTCGTCTTTCGTCTGTCGCAGTTTTTGGTTTCGGAGTCGGCTTTTGTTTCGCCGTGGCTGTTTTGACTGACAAATGAAAATCTCTATTGGCTATCGCCAGACAATCAAAGGCCAAAGAAACAAACACAAACAGCCATGAGAAGTCGTCTGTCGACGGTTGCAAACTTTACACACATTACGGCCCGGCCAAAAGAAATGAAATGAAATGAAATGACAACAACTGCAGCGCCACATACGAATGTACTTTCACTCATCGGATTTTTTAGTTTTTTGTTTTTTGTTTTTTAGTTTTTGGTCTTTGAAAACGTCATCGTGTCGCAGATAAAATAACAAACAAACACCGGCCCCCAAAAAAGAAAAACAGACAAAATGCAAAGATCTCCGGCTGATTGATGTCAGCCAAATCTCATCTGCTGCGTTTCTCAGGCTCAAAGGAAACGAGATTTTCTTGTCACTCGCTTCAAAGCAGAATAAATACACTTTGTTGCACCTCAACTTTTCTCGTATCCCCCGCTTGACTCGGGCAAACTTGCTCAATTAAATGCAAATTTCATGTTTTAGAATTCGAAGCCAATCACATAGATGCACAGAAAAAATAGAGTTTCAGTATAGTGCTGTAGGTCAAAAATATTATTTTAAGTCGTGTGACATTTATGACAAAAATAAAAATATATGTGGAACTTAATTACCTAATTGTATTTTTACATTTGTAATTTATTGCAGCAATAATTGACCTAATTGCTAAACATATTTTTGAATTGAGCATTTATATTCGAGAAGAAGACTCTTCAATTAAGAGAGTCTCACGTACCTCCAAATTTCTGCCGGTGTACAAAGATCTACACACTTGCAAGCCGGAGAGAAAGATGCAAATGGCCTTTTCTCCAATTTTCCACAGTCGACCACCCGCATGGACAGTGGGCGCCACGGACGTCTCACTTGGCAGAAATCACACACACACATACACACAGAGGCACAAACACAACAGCGCAGGCCACAAATTTATGCGCATTTTGATCAAATCGCCAAACGTCGAGTGGGCGTGGTCGAGCTGTACGGGGCGGGCGGCTAGAGGTCCAGTACTTGGGCCCCAAAGCGTTTTTGGGATTTTTACATATCTTATTTTTATTTTATCGCTTTTATTGCCGCCTTATTTATTTCGTTTGTTTTGATAGTTTTTCTTGCCAGCGAAAGTGATCATAACAAGACGGAAAAAAGCGAGCTAGCGATACTGGAAAATGAATTGGTGCTTGTTTGGTCTATCATTTCCATGGAAAGTATGCAAGAAGTTTAAACTTTAGCTACGAGTATGGACGGATTCGATAAGTTTTTAAAGATGTGTTTAAAGATTTGTTTCAACGCCTAAGATTATGAAAATTTCTTAGTCTGCTGATATTTGTTTTATAAAAGTTACCCAGCTGAATGATTACTAAAAAACACCTTTATACATGCATTTCTGAAAAGCGCCAGATAAATTCGCATCTGAACTACCAATAGTCGTAAAATTCATTTTATATTCGTGCCCAAGATTTACCGCATTTAGCCCGAGAACTTCAGCTGCAGACCGTGTCGAATTTATAACCTTTGCCACTGCCGATTCCCATATTTCATTCACAACCATTGAGTCCCCAAATATACGAGTGCATATACAAAACAGCATGCCAGGCAAAATCGCAGCGTGTTGCACTCTCAAACTTGCAGTTATGGCCAAGGCCCCGAACAAGCCGCAAAATCATGAGCTTGCAACTCAGGCTGAGAATTTGTGGACGTGGAAGTTGCAAAATCGAGAATCATTTGCTGGCGCTTCAAAACGTAAACTTGCAGCATCGGCATCATCATCCCGCTGGTTAATTGCATGGCTAAATTGCTCGAAATTAATCCGTTTCCGTTTTGGTAATTTAAAGTGGGGATTTTCTCTATAAGCAGATCAAGCAGCAGCGACAACTCAGACTTGACCCTAATTGCAATTTGTGCTTAATTCATAATTTATATATTTTGTTGTTCTTCCTTAGTCTTCAATCAGAGGCGAATATATTTAAAGTTGGGCAAAAGAAACTGTTTTTGAGAGCCGGATATGCTTTATGCCTTTTTTGAAATATCAATTTAGGCCTAAAGGCACAAATGCGGCTTACGTATGCTTGTTTTATTTGCACCTTAAAGATATTTCATAAATAGGCACTGATTGTTAGGAAAAATGGATTGGAGAGAAACCCCAGCCCGAAGTATCACTCATTGTTTTGTACGAGCAGTCAAGTGTAACATTCCATGCATTTATCTTTCTAAGGTAATATGCAAATTGTATTTTTTACTATTTAAAAATACTCGCGAATCATTGCAGAAAAGTACCCCACAATTTGGCCAACATTTCGCTGGCGGCCTCACCCTGAATTTGGCCAAAAGACAAAGGCGGCAATTGTCTCTGTGCGCTGGTAGATAACAATTGTTTGGCAGATTTTTAGCCTGGGCCGCAGTTTCTTGTCAATTCATTGGCTTTAATTGCTGTGTTTGCCGGTTTGCCGTTTGCAGTTCGGAGTTGCATGTTGTTAAGCCAGGCAGACACTGTGAATGATATATGGCCTGCGGCAGAGCATAGCCTATCCTCCTTGCTTTTGGCCTGGTCAAAAGATTGATGGTGTTATGCAATGCGAAACCCTTTTTATTTTACTTACTTTGAATAGAGGGAGAGCAACCTTATCGGCAATGCGCATCGTTGTGTGCAGCATTAAAACTTTTTGTGGCCAGGCACGCAAATATCAAAAACTGAACTCCATTGAACCCCTCCAACTGCCATTTTCCATGAGCTTAGCCAAAACAAAGAGAGACCCCGCCAAGGTAATGCCAAAATCCGATTTGAATTAAAAGTGAAATAAAAGCGAAGGAAAAATTTTATCATTTCGCTAATTTTTTTTGTTGTTTTTCCTGTTGCAAAGACGTAGAGTCACGCAAACTTGAAGCCGTAGCAAGTGCAAAATGTCGCGGCATTATAAATTGAATTGGGGGAAGGTCCTTAAGCTTCTGGTCTAAACCAAGGCGAAACCACCTGCTAAAAACTCACTTTTCGCCAAAAATAGTGAAATAAATGGGAAATATTGTAATTAGAATGGAGAATGAAAAGTAGAGAATGAAAAAAGAGAATAGAAAAACCAAATAAAGTTCGTTTGCCGCAGTCTAGACAACAACTGCACTGGGTTTGCGGGGTGAGATTTTGGGGTGTGGCTGCCAAAAAGGACATTAAGTCATTCAGCCACGTTTGCAGGGCCAAAAATTTTAGAGCCAAGGCGAAAAGCCAGACAGACAAGGCTGTATCTATGTATGCGTTTACATACGCGTTTGTGTGCTTGTTTTGCATGTGTGCCTCTACTTTTGTATCTATGTGTGTTCGCTAGTTTGTGTTGCGGCAAATAATAGTAATTTGGCTAACACAAAAATTGGGCGTCGTTTGTATTCCGCTGTTCGACGCTTCTAGCCATGAACTTGAAAAGGTTTTCCGATTCCCTTGCCACTCTCTTAAAGTGAAAATTATCAAGCCATGAAAAGCGAACGCTAGACAGAAATACACTCATCGTGCACTATTCGGAATTACATTTGAATATGGAATTGGCATCTTGGCCTTTTGTAAGCTAGTCAAAGCAAAACCAAAGGAAGAACATTAAATGAAGTACGAGAAAAAGTGTATTTTTGTCAAGCAGTTTTCAGGGAACTGCATCAGAACTTTGATTTACATATTAAAAATTCTGAAGATTCTGCTTTTATTGAATCTCAAATGTTATTTTGTTTTTATAGGTAATATAAAATACAACAGAAAAATTAAAAAAAGTGCAATTGTAATAAAGCAATTTATATCATTTTCCGATTATATAGAGGGTTTGTTGCTTTAAATTACGTTTTCCCCGCCCAATCGACTGTTCAATCGCACAGAACACAGTTAACAACAGAATCGAATGGCAGAAATCAATGCTGGGCCATAAATATCTCTGCACTTAAGCTGGCCTCCTTGCGAGTGAGTTTTTCCGACTCATGTGAGCCATGACGCAGGGAAAAGACCACGAAAGTCAGGGGGCGTTGCCATTGATTCGCGCATGGGGGGCGTGGCCTGGTGTGGACGATGGGGCGTATGAGTAATCCACGGCGCTCATAATACGAACGCCTCCTTTGGCACTCGCAAAGTGTTTGTGATGAGTTTAATTAAAGATCTGCGAGGGATTTGCATTCCGCCAGGCAGATGGCCCTATGCGGAAGCCCGAGCAGGAATGACTTATTATGCAATTAGCAATTAGCGTCAATTGAAGCCAAGTCCGATTCGAAGTCTCAGATAGAATGCGTTTGCTGGCCCAAAACCACTCGACTGGGTCAACCGCTCATCAGGCAAACGGCGGGGCATCCAAGGTAACATCGTCTCTTATATTTTCCATTTCCAGCCTCCAGCCTCCAGCCTCCAACCTCCATCTCATCATCTCCATCGGCATATCTGGCCTTTGTTTACCCACTTTGATGCAACGTTTGTGTTGCTGTCAAACAAATAACGAAACGATTTGCTCATTTGTTGATATTTGCATTTTGCAACGGTCTTCGCGGCAGCAGAAGAAGTCAATGGATGCCTCTCCGCCCCATAAGAACGCAGATCTCAAGTGCGCTAAAGATTTCGCAATGGACTCTGCGATTTCTACGACCTCTCGGGGCTTGAACTCCACACGAGGAAACCACATCGAGTATGTAAGCATTTTCCCCGCTGGATGGCTATGATGTAAATCGTAGCACAAGTCACAGCACATAAATAAACGTATTACATCTCTTTAAATTGGCCTAGGTGAGTTGGTATAATGTCAAATCATTTATAGGTAGTTTCCTAATCAAAACATTTTTTAAATATCTTAACAGAATAACCAATTTTTAACATATTTGAACATTTTTTGGCGGGAACACAAGTCAGAATAAAGTTTATATTATTAGTAAATAATTGGTAATTATTCTAGCTATCTGAATGTAACACTAAAATATAGTTTGTACTTTTAAAACTAAGAATACCAGCTTTAACATAATTATTTTTCTATATTGAATCAAAGGAATGACTGTTTTACCTCAGAAATTAAAAAATTGCTTATAACTATTTTTGCTGTTTTTTTGAGTTTACTCTATACTATTCAAATATTCTTAGGATCCATTTTTCCCCTGTAAGACCAAAGACGCTGCGTCATCGGATAGAAGATCTGTTCAAAGTCCAAAGCGCCCAGCTATAAATAGGCAAACAACTGCAGACTGCAGAAACTGGCCGAGTCTTTGCAGATTTGTAGATTTTCAGCGAAGACTCCGATCCGGCTGCCAGCTGAAAGCAATCTGGCTTAATCATGTGAGAAGCGACCAGGCCAACGAGCAGGGAATGTGGCACCGAAAACAAACGAAAACGAAGAAAAATCGCGGAGAAGAAGGAGGGACTAGAAAAAAATCCAACTGAAATCGAGTTTGGCTCTGCTTAGTGGCCGCGTAACTAAACTTGACTCTCTTGGCCAAATCTCAAACCCAACTCCACTTCTGCGGATCGGGTTCTCCGGCCCGTTCTTGTGTTTCTCTGGCGGATCGCATGACTCAACTGGAGATGGTTGCCAACTGAAAGATGCAGCCAAGTGGAGAGGAAAACGCATTCAAACAGAAGATGACTTCGATTTTTGCTTTTTTAATATAGTTTATTAGTCTAATATGAATGGAAATTTGATCTGCTGACTTCGTATATGAAGCTACTAAAATACAGCATAACATCGTTACTTTAATTTGAAAAGTTAAGAGGTTTAGTTTTTTTTATGTTAACGAGCTTAATGAAGACATGTTGTCAGTCATAAAACGTTCAAAGAAATCCTCATTTTTCGATCGCAATAAACTTAATTTTTATTTCTTGCATTCTTTGCTCTAGATTTTTTTAGATTCGAACTGCAGTGAGCTACATCAATTTCCTTTTCATTTACTGTCATTTTTTGTGTAGTTATCATTTAGACTAACAAAATTAGAAGTACAAAAACCAAGCCCTTCAAAATGCCTAAATCAGTTTTTATTAAAATTGTGAACAAGGAAAAGATGTTTAATATATATTATATGTAATTTAAGGACAAGAACGCGTCATGCCGATCCAAACATTTAATCCTCAAAGGTTTCGCCGACAGAAAACAAAGAACCATTGAGCTTCTATCCCAAAACAGAGCCACCGAAACCCAAAACAAGTTAAGAGCCGCCAAAGTGCGGAAAAGTGTGGAAAACTGAACTGGCTTTTCTGCTGGCTGCGGCAGAGGAAACGTTATTTCCAGGAAATGCACTTAGCTCTTTCACTGCGTCGCGTTTGTTTTTTTCGTTACCCTGCGTGCTGAGTGAAAATTTGAGGACCCAATCGGCAGGAACTTTCTTTTGATCAAGTGAGAAATTGGTGTGCGAAAAACGCCAGTTGGAAAAGCGCACTCACTCGGAAAAATAGCATTTGCGAGGCGGGATGTGAGAACGAAAGCGAAACAATTCCGATCCCAAGATGCCAAAGCCCAGATGCCAGGGAGGCCAGAGAAGCCCATGGAGCTAATTAAGCCGCCTCGCATGAGTGCTGTGTGGTTTTCCACGGGGCCAGAGGTTGGGGGTGGCTCTGCATCAAGGGAAAGCACTAACTGCAACATCAACATCAACATCAACAGCAACATTAGCAACAAGAGCAACAAAGATGAGAAATCGCTGGCTTCCTGGCTTCATGAAGAAATAAGTCTAGAGTGCCAGTTGGGGAAAAACTTGTTCATCTTTGGCTCTAACGAGCTAACGGAGCGACAAGCGGACCAACCGAACTGATGGGCGGACTGGCGGACAGGCAGCGGACGGACGGACGACTGTGAGCGATTCCCCTCAAAACAAGACGATAGGTAAACAAGGCAGCAGCAACAACAAGAGCAGCGGCACAAGTAGCAAATGGCAAGTGCAAGTGTAGCAGCAACGGACTTTTGTGCTTCCTGAAGATGGCCGCGTGATCACGAGATCGAAGGTCTGAGCTGAAAGTCATTAAAGTCGAAATAATATTAGAAACAAATTTAAAATACGTAAAGAAATGGGAAATATAATTTTGTAGTCGCATTTTAGATTATTGATTTGGTACAACGAAATACATCATTCTTGATAAGAACTTTTCTCCAAGGAACAACAAATCCATTAAGTTGGTGTATGGAATACCCGTTTGCAAAACCAAGTTGTCATATGGGATAGCATATGGGATTTCAGATTTAAAACCACCCAGCTAATAAAAGGTTTAGGATCCATAAGAGATTCCACTCACGAATCACGCGGGCCGCCCATTCAAAGCTGATGCTTCATGTTGGTGGCCTCCTGGAGTGGGTGTATAGTATATAGTGGATAATGTGCAGTCTAGTCGGATGTGCAATGTGTGTGTTAGTGCGCCAATGTGTGTGTTTCTGGCCTGGCCCTGGCCAAAACAATAAACAAATAAATTACATGAAAGCGGCTGCCACAGTTTGAATCTCTTCAACAAGATAATCACAATGAAGCGGCACGAAATGTGCAGCAATGTGGCATCCTCATTAACCCTCCGATTCCCCTAAGCCCGACGCAGCCGCACCACGCCGGGCGAGAAAGTGAAAGTCACTGCGAATCCTCGCAACAAACAGAAAAAAGCAGAAGCGGGCAGAAAGTAATTGGCCAGGTCGGCTCGTAGGTTAATTAAAACGCACTTTGTGGCCAAAAGGAGAGAAAAAGATCGCGCTTTTAAGCCCACTCATCATCGGATATCTAGCCAGACAAATCGATATGGTACGAAATGTAAATATCCCAGTGACCACAAAAACCGCAAGATACGCATCCGCGAGATGCCTTTGAAATGTCTAAGACAAATTAATTTGCACGAGCATTAAGACCGCGCACTTTTCACTTCTTCCGCAATAAACAAATCGCTGGCGATTTTTCCCCTGACAGTGCGAGCGGGAAAGTATAGAAAGCTGCTCAATGAGAATCAATAAATTTGCTCAGGCGGCAGTGGCTGCCTCTTAAAGCCTGATAACTATATTTAAGTCCATTTTCCCCCCATTCTTTTCCCCACCGCCCAAAGGCTTTTGTGGGTCAGTCGATCAGGCGCAACTCGAGTTGGAAACTTCCATGTAGGAGGCTTCTAAAAGCGCATCTGAATTCGAGGCTGTTTTTAAGTGGTATTGGTGGGCTGGCCAATTGGGTCATCAGCCCATGGGTTGTTGCCCCCATCTGCTCCGACCAACCCCACACACTTCCCACCCAGAACTCGAATTCAAATCTACACTTTATCAACAAATCGCTTGCAAAACGTTGGCGCGAAACGACGGGATAATTTGCTCGACCATGGAATTACCCATGACAACAAGAAGGAGAGATTCATAATGTCAAACAAAGTGCTTAATGATAGATTAAAGCTTTCAAAACATAAAGATATCATGGTGCTTTTAAGATGATTGAACAAATTAACCAATTATTATTTTTTAATCATTTGGGTTGAGGTGAGCTACATTTATTTTTACCAGCAGTTTTGAATTCTACTTTCAATATTCAAAAACAAACATCCTGAAGTTATTTGTTTCGCTAAAATTCTGTTCCCTAAATAAACATTGGCTAATATATATTTTGATGATAATTTAGCACCTTTACAATTTTTTTAATACCCGCTTCTCGTAGTGTAAAATAGTATACTCGATTCGGTGAAAAGACTTTGTATAAAATATATATATTCTTGATCAGGATAATAGCCGATTCAGTCCACATAATCTGCATGTGATGCATAATCCAAAGACATAGACGCAGCGAAAGTTTGTTGTTACACGCCCACAAACTGCCCAAAACTGCCACGCCCACACTTTTGGAAAATGCTTTGATATTTTTTTGATTTTATTATTTGTCTTTCCAATTTCTATCGATATGCTGAAAAATTGTTCTTTCTCGTTCGCACTCCCACTAGCTGAGTAACGGGTATCTTATAGTCGAGGAACTCGACCATGGCTTTCTCTTTTGCTTAAACTAAGATTGTATCTCACGACTTAAGCTGGTGCAAGGAATTGACTTGATGGATCTATAAATATAGAACCTTGTTGCAGTCAAAGGTTATTAGCAAGAATAAATGCCAATTTTGACTTAAATTAACATCAATCTGTATTGAACCTACAAAATGATAAAGGCTTTAAATATTTCCAGTTTTACAGTAAAATTGACGGACTTGCAGAACTTTCGGAACAATTGGCGTGACTCAAAGGGGTTAACTGATACCCCTTTCGTATCTTACACCTTGGCGAACACTTTCCCTCCGAGTGCCCACATGCAGCACATTAAATGGGCATGGGTATAGTATGACAAACCGAATGAGTGGCCACTCGGATGCATTTTGGGCCCGGGCCACTTGGCCTCGACGCGTGGGCATGACAGGTTGGGTTAACTGAGTGCAGAGCCCAGAACCGGCGTCAACTCGGACGACTCAATAAACTAGCTCTTTGTTGGCTTATTGACAGCGGGGCGCAGGACAGTCGCACATTCTGCGATTGTGCAATGGGTGGCACATGTGGCACATTCCGATTCGTGGCAAGTGGCAAGAATCTGGGAGATCGAGACCAACTGGCAGCTGGCCGGCAGACCTTGCCGAAACGGTAAATGTCGTACACAGAAATAAATATGTGTTTGTATATTGCTTTTAGTATTAATATTAAAGTTTAGTCCAGAAAGCTTGACAACTGAAACTATAAACATTTTAATTGTACAAATGGAAAGTTATAGAAAGAAAACAACACATAAAGGAATCAAAATTCTTTTTCTTTACAGATTGTATCTGCTTAAGAATTAACATACATATCTATAAAATCCTTAACTGTAAAGATACATAGGTGTTTTAAAATGAATCTCATAACTGTAGGATAATTTTATCAATCTAGCTTATGACCGAAAATATAGAACTTTTTCATTAGGATTACTTGACAAAGTAGATACTTCTGTTTAGGAAGCCAGAATTATTGGATTACTAGTGCTGTTATTCCAAAACCTATTTTATTTTTCTATTTCATTTTTCCCAGTGGTATTAAAAATGTGTAGGTTTTTAAGAGGGCAACTGTGGCGGAAACAGGGGGAGTTAGGGTAACATTACCGGAGGCCCACATTGACATGCTCTGAATACTGGGATCCAGCTCATTGTTGTTGTTGTTTTTAATGCCGCATGTGGCACTTGCAGCAGCCACCACAGTCTTGAGAATGGCATTTTGATTTATTGGCTAGTTCCAGAGCTTCGATTGCATAATCGCCGCCAAAAAACTTTTGCGACTATAAAACTATATAAAACAGCATTTGGCTGGAGGGGAAGCGGCGGGGAATCCGTTCATTTTTTCCCACAATTTGCAAACAATAATGAAAACCCAGCTCAGCGGCTGCTGCCCGACTACCTGGCTAATTAAATCAAATAAGCCAAGCAAGCGTATTAAAAATGCAGGCAGCTAAAAAACTGAAAAACGCGAGCAGACAGGCAAAACAAATAAAATTGGGAAATAACACATTAGCCATATAACACGTCGAACGGTTAATGCTCTCGCTATGGGAAGGAAAAAATATAAAAAACATTAGTTCACTAGCCAGTTCATTAGCTCCCACCTAGAATCATTTTCCTGGAAGACCATTAAGATTAATTCTTTGAAAATATGGGTGATGCTTTCTATAATTACAATCAATGCTCGACTTGAAAACAGAAGTATGTAGGATATTTGTAAAAGACTTCAACTAAGTGATGTGTTATTTTAAGATCTTTTTGTAATGTTTGTTACACTACTGAACAAAATCTTTGAGATACATTTTCCCACCAGCTCCTGATACTGTTATGGGATTTTCCAGAGGTTTCCTCTTTCCCCAAACGAAGCCAATTCCGCAGCAATTAGACCCGGCCAAAAAGGGCATCGCAACAAGACGGCAGCAGCGGCAAATAAAAAAAATTAAACTCGGCTGCATGCCACAAGTGGCCAAAGTGCTTCCAGCCGGCCGGCAACGACCGATAAGAGAGCAACAACTGTGCAGCAGGCCAACAAGACAACAGAAATATGGTCACAGCGGCTGCAACAGCAAACTGCAACCGAAGTGAAGCGGGCTAACAACAAAATTGGCAACAAAAAGGCAACCAATTAAGGCCAATTTAGTTGCAGCAACGCCAAGCGGCAGCGACACAAGAAATAATCAGTGAGAAAACAGCAACCAGAGCAGCAACAACAATATCGCAGCATGCAAATGAGAGCAGCGACCAAAGTAACTCGATACAAATTTTGCAAAAAGGCCACAGCAACGGGTAAAAAATTATGTATGTGCAGGTATTTGCAAGAAATTTGCACTTTTTTTCTGCACCGCTGGAACTGTGAGAAAATATGCAAAGGAAACTGAAACGGAAAACTCTGAGACAGTAAAACATCCCTAGAAAGAACATTAGACGACGAACTTATTGGAAGTGCAGTAAAAGCTTGAACAAATTATATCACCTTTGTAGACATTAGATTATATTTTGAAAAATATCCAAACAAGTAAATGTGCAACTAATTCGAAATTTGTATTACAATATATTTATGGATTTTGTATGGTACCTATATAAAGTGATATGCTTTTCAAAATATTTCTGTTTTAATGATCGGTTATGGAATGTCCACTACATTTCAAACTAGTTACATGGTGTCGTAAAAAGCGAATCAAGTTCAGTTTGACTTATTTGTATCAACTACCACTCATGTTTGTGGCTTTGAAAAAACCAAATTAATTAAAGTTCGTTAATATATTGTTTGAATTTCTTTTAGTGAAGAAATACTAAGCTCGTACTCCTTTAAAAGCAAGTTCAACAACATTGGCCGATCTTTAAAAATACTTTATAAATGAAGCACTGAATATAGCAGGAATAAGCAGATTTCCGCATTTGGCATTTCCTTTTTCATTTGTTAAAATTGTTATTGTAATTTTATATTTTAATATTTCCTTGCGTCTATTAGTTACGTCATGTTATGGGCAATGTTGTCGAATACGTGTTATAAGTATTTCCTTGAAAATGATTAGCACCCTAGCTACGTTCTTCTTAAAGAAGTTAACCCGTAGTTTCATTTTCTTGTTGCGGCCTGTCCACGATGAGTGACAAGGAGGGGTATATTAGCGGGGGAGCAGGCGATGCTTGAAGAATGAGACAGACAGCTTGGAGCTGTTCTGATTTCGAATATTAATGATTAATGCCGCCCGATGACAATAAACACTGTGTCAGGTTGCAGATGCAGTGACATCTTTTAACCGCCGACAAGAGGAAGCGAGATAGAAGATGTGTGAGCGAGAGGGGCATACTGGGCTAACAAGGTGCTCGCTTGCATTAAACCATTGTTGGTTTGTTGTTGCTGTTTGCTCAGCCCAAGGCGGCCCATTAAAAAGCTTAGCAAGCAGCAAGTGCCGTGACCTTTTTCCCTCAACTTCCAGTTCTTTTGGCTGCCTTTGTTTTTTTTTATTTCGATGATTTCATTGTAGCTGCTGGCTTTTTTGTTTGCCTTTTTTGTTGTGCTCAGTGGCCGCAACCGAACCTAATTGCACCATCGGCCGCAGATCTTCAGTACACAATGAAGAAAATAGGGATCACCCAAAGTTGATATTTGCCAAACTGGTTTTAAATTAGCTAAATACTTATTTAATGCTCTTAAGCCAGTCATTGTGGGGATGCACTTGAAATTTTAAACGTAAGCCAGCTTAAAATAGAAGGTGTATTTTTAAAAAGATTTTCAACACTAACAAATTTCTCTCTTGAAATGTTGTATGCATATGAAAAGCCTTGTATATAAAAAACATGAATATATTTTAAAAGTTAATTTGTGTATATATGTATAAACGAATAAAAAAGAGGAAACATGTTCTAATCTAAACATCTGTTATACTTTTATAATATTAAAAAAAGAGAAAAAAATCCCTATCCAAGAAATGTCGAGCTGATAGACTTCTTTCGAGAAATGTCTTATTTTTGGAAGTGTATTTTTTGGGACCCCAAATAATAGAAGTCTCGAGCTGTTGATGTTGTTGTTTAAGTGTGTCTTAAAGTGCATTATCTTTCTTTTCGCCTTAATCAATTGAGCCAGATCACACACACACATACACTTTTAGGTTCAAAACATGCACACACCCACATGCAGGTGGCAAAAACTCCACCTCACAACCCGTTTTTTCTTATTGCGAAGAAAACTACTGAGCTTTGCACACACTTCTTCACTTTCTTCTTGTGCGTGAACGTGTGTGTGTGTGTGTATGCAGCATCAAAAAGTAACTGTATCTCATAAATACACATGTACACATTTTTACATACATACCTGTCCAGCGAATTAGCAATGTCGCATACAAAAAATATGTGTCGCTTTCAATTTTGCAATTGCAATATTGCAGTCTCTGAAATGGAAAACTCAAAACTCGAAGTTAAGCCACCGGCTAACACACACACATGCATTTACATAGGATCCAAACAAACACACACCGCGATAATCAGAGGTAAACAAACGAGGAAAACTAAACTCGCGACGCGAACGAAAAGCACTTGCGTAAATATAAATATTGGATGGTTCGATTGGAGAAAAGCGAGGGCCAAAAACCAAAAACGCGACTCGTGTTCTCGTACGGAATGAGAATTATAGAGTCTCGTCTCGTGCGCTGCGAAGTCCAAAGACGATCTGAATCGCGAACGAGATACTATATCTGAACTTCACTTTTCCCACACAGCATTTCCTCTGCCAGCTTCGTTTGACGCAGACAGTTCGCTTCGAACTTGTTGTGCCCGCATTATTTTAAGTTGCAGCGTTGCATCAGAATTAGTTATGTTGGCTAACAGAGTGTGACTGTACTTTGTAGCGAGCACTTTTATATACCGAAAATATACTGAAATTAGTGGCTCAGCGCCAAACTACAATTGTACCGTTATTGTTCAACGAAACTGAATAATAGAATTTTTTTGCTAATAGAATTTTACTTTTTTATTCCTTACAATTGTTGAAAAGGGATTATATGGGAGCTTACACAAAATGTATTATATCATATAAGCACGTACTTTGTGGATTTTATGGATTATCGAAAATATTGGCGTCAAATGTTATATGCGAATTTGTTATATATAAACAACACAACAAACTTCTATCAATTATTATTTAACTTAAACCCTTAAAATCCCTGATTGAAGGACTTTAGTGTGACCCTAAAATACTGCGCAGTTGTCAGTGCTGCAAAGCTCCGGTTAAAATCGAAAGGCGATAGACAGTGGAAAATAACGAGACAGCACCACCCCACCACCCAACCGCCCCCCTAAACAACCACCCAGTGGCGAAAAATCATCCGTAGCTGAAAACTGGAACGGAAAACGGCGAAAATATGCTCAAGTCGGAGGTTCAGCACCAGTTCTGGATCACCAAGAAGGTGGTGCAGCGCAAGCTCGGAACGAAGGAGGACAAGCACGTAATATCCTCGGACGCGGAGCTGGATTCCAAGATCGAGGTGTTCAAATCGATATCGGACACCAGCTTGAACCTGTGCAAAATTATTGACCAATACCAGGAGCGCCTATGCATCCTGTCGCAGGAGGAGTGCGTGTTCGGCAGGTTCCTCAAGGAGGCGGGAAAGCGGAGCAGAACCACGGGCGGAAGTATCGCCCACACGGCCAAGGCCGTATCCTTCGCTGGACAGCAGAGGATGTGCGTGCGGGTACCGCTCCTGCGGCTCCAGCACGAAGTCGATGTGTTTCGCTGCCGGGCGGTTAAGGACACGGAGCAGACCCTCCAGACGATGGAGAAGGAGCGCACGGAATACCGCGCCGCTCTCTCGTGGATGAAGTCCGCAAGCCAGGAACTGGATCCCGACACGGGCAAGGGTCTGGACAAGTTTCGCACGGCGCAGGCCCACGTGCGGGTGGCCAAGCATAATTTCGATGGCTATTCAATGGATTCCATTCAGAAGGTGAGGGTGGTTCTCAAGGACTTACATTTGCATCAGTGTATATCCAATGTTATATAATTTAATTACCATTAATCCTTTCCAGATTGATTTACTAGCAGCTGCCCGCTGCAACATGTATTCCCATGCTCTGGTGGCCTACGTCACGGAGTTAAAGAACTTTGCCCAAAAGGCCGCCTCCACATTCCAGACCATATCCAAGGCCTTGATTATAAAGCCCAAGTACGACTTCTGTGTGCTAAAGGAACTGTCCCAAAATGAAGGATCCACCGAGGAAGTTCCGCCAATCGAAGCTGTGGATAAGGACCAGTCGTTATTCTTTGCTGTAACTTCATATCCATGAACATTCATTCAAGAATTCATACTAAAAGGGCATTTCCTTACAGAACGACTACCAGGATAAGCTGGAAACCCAGCCGCAAGCAAAGGAATCTGAAGAGGAAAAACCAAGTGCACCTGCCACTGCCTGCGGCGACAATGAATCCTTGCTAATTGAGCTTTCCAAGCAGCTGGAGGACAGCCCGCTTATTGATGCGCCGTTGGATGAAGAAATACCTGCCCAAAATAGCAGTAACAAGCTATGGTCGCGCTTGTTTAGCCAGCAGAATCAGCAACCCGTACCGAGCCAAGTAGCCATGGAATCCAAGGCAAGTGGAGGTGGCGCCACCGCGGCTCCCAGCAAATCGCAGTCCACCAACAATCCCTGGCTGGATCTTTTCGCCGACTTGGATCCGTTAGCCAATATGCAAGCCTTCGATTTGAAATTGAGCGGCGGGCGCAGTGTGACCGAGCAGACCTGAGCAGACTACCCTCCCGTACAGATTATATTTATGGATCTGCGTATACCTGTGGAAACTAGCTAGTCAAAATGGAGATACTTTGGATGTAACTTTTCGCTAAACGTTCAAAAACTTTTTATTTTTTATTTAAATAAAATTTATATGGGACACAGCAGCTAGAAGTGGATGAGGCGGACGAGTGGCAGGGAAAGTGGGAAGTGGGGCAGGAGCCCCACTCATTTGACCGCCGCCTGTGCCTCCTTCTTGGAGTTAACCAGCTCGACCAGCTCCTTGACGCGACGCAAGCAATCCTTTTTACTGCGATTCGGTATGCAGGCAGCGATGCAATCCCAGCGATCGGGTGTCGTCGTTGGATAGGTTTTAATGGCTTGTTCGAGCAGGGCTTGCTCCTCCTTGGTCCAGGTCTTGGAGGCAGCACCACCGCCTGACCCATTTGTGGCCTGAGCTGGGGCTGCTGCTGCGGGGGCTACTGGAGCAGGAGCTGTTGCCGTTCCATTCTGCTTGGCCGACTGATTGTTCGACTTATGATCTACTCCGTTCTGTTTCACGTTTTCCTTGCTCGCCTGTGCAGTCGTCTCCTCGCCTAGGGTTATATCATTACAGGTCTGAACATCTTTCTTGGACTTCTCAAAGCTGGCAAATGCCGCATCGTTGGCTTGGGTCTTCAGGGAGCTCTTCGAATGATCTGTGTTCTGGAGCGCCTTGGCTTTGTTAAGCACATCCCTGGCATTGACCAGCACAGTGTTACCCGGACTATGTTGGTTGATGAACGTGGCTATGACATCCCAACGCTGTGCAGTACCAGCGGGAAACAGATTAACCGCCTTGATAAGCAACTGCACGTTTTCATTGCTCCAAAGCTCATTCTTCTTCACTTCCTTAACGCCTTTTGGCGTGACGCCCGTGCTGGCGATCTTCTTGGTCTGTGTCTGGTTAATCTCCTCCAACTCGGCAGCTATTTTCTGCTCGGCTGTTTGCAGGGCTGCAACAAACGACTCACGGCCTTTTGTTTCCATTGCCTTATTCAGAGCTTGCAGCTCTGCCAGATTAAAAGTCTCGCAAATCTTTTCCGTGCCCTCCATATGCTTGAGTTGATCCTTATCGTTCTTGGCATAATACTTGCAGTCCTTGACCTTGTCGCGCAGTGTTTTGCGCTCCTTCTTAAGCAGCTTTTTTTGCTGCTCGCGTTCGATGCGGATCTGCTCGATGCGTTTCTGCTCGGCCTTTTCAGCCTTCTCTTTGGCCAAAGCCGCTTCACGGATGGCACGATCAGCTTCTGCCTTCTGGGCCTGGGCGGCGTCCATTTTAGCTCGCTTGGCCGCAGCCTTGCGATCCTTCTCCTCCTGCTTGAAACGCTGAATCCGCTTGTCATTGTTGTAGGCCAAATCGACGAGCGCCCTGATGCGAGACATTTCCTCCTTCTTGCGCTTGATCCGAGCCGCCCTGTTCTCCTTTTCGATCCAGCGACGCTCGTCACGGTCCTGACCCTTCTCCTTGTCCTCTTCGTCCAAGTAGCTGAACTCTCGCCATGACTTAAAATCGTACCAGAAATTGTAGAACCGCTCCACCTCCTCGCGTTTGGCGTCCACCTGCCCGAAGGCGGGGACATGCGGCTTTTCGCTCCAGCGCCCGTTAAGTGTGAAGAATTTGTTCAGGACGCCAAAGAAGTCGTTATCGATGTCGTTCTGAGAGGGCAGCGAGTCGTCAAACTCGGGATCCACTGAGTCAAAGCTGCGTCGCGGCTTGGATGTGCCTGGAATGCAAGATTAAGTATTAGGTTAATTTTCCTGTTATCCTGAAATACCTATCTATATTGTTCAATTATGTTTATAATTATTACAAGTGAGTATAGCAACAAAACAAAAAAAGTGAAAATTTGGCAATTCGTTATAAAGAATTTCAAAGCAAACAATTAGTCCTATTTTTAGATATACAAAAATAAAGCTTCAAGTTTTGCGTCTTAAGACTATGGCAACAGCAAACGAACGAATTAAAAGCGACAAGGAATATTAATTAGTTAGGTACAGGTACTTTAAAATCTTAATTGATTATTAATATCAACAGGATTGTAGGACATCATCATGTTATATAACTCAAGCAAATTCTCTTAAGACTAATATCAAAGTATGCTTAGCAATCGCGTTGCAAGGCAACTCCAAATCCAAAGGAATCCCCACAAGGACCCAGCAATGACATCTCCCAGACACCCACCTAGTATCTCGTAGGCTTTGGTTATGCATGTGAAGTAGTCGTCGTCCTGGATGACTTCCTCGCCCTTGGCTTTCCGCTTATCGGGATGATGCAGCAGGACCATGCGTCTATAAGCCCGTCGAATGTCATCCTCGCTGGCTTCGTATCTAAAGGGATTGAACCGACAACACAGTATTAGTTGGGGAAGGCCGTCAATTATTGATAGGAACTGAGCCGAACACATGGAAACGACCACCACGTGCTGCCGCCGCACTCACCGGAGCTTGCCCAGGCCAAGAATGGCGTAGTGATCCTGGTCCTTCCACTCCTTGGGATCCAGCGACTTCAGGTAGCTGATGTCCACCTCCTCGCCAACGCCCTCCAACTTCTCATCGCTTTCGCTGCGCTCCACGCCGCCGGGAGCTAGAAATTGGCGCCGTTGCGCAAAGTAAGCCAAGCCAACGCGCTCGATTTTGCGGCGAACGACCTTGAGCGGCAGCTGCACCTCCACCGCCGTCGCTACCGTACCGCTCGTCATCTCTGGTCAGGTCAGCTGCTTAATGGGCATTCACCGCCACTCCTGTGGGCACTCGTTTACTCTAAATTTGGCGATCCGCTGCCTTCAAATCGTCGAAATCAAGTTAATATAATCACACTTTTCCGCAGCACCGCATGTGTTTCGACTAGAGGTGGTGAAACATCGATGTCATAATCGATTGAACATAGATAGTTTCCAACTCTATTTTTGACAACTGTAATCGATTGCAGCAGACTGTATCGATATTGCCGAGTGGTAGTGTTGCCAACTACTATTGCTGAACACCAATGGCAACTATCGTATTGGCTTGGCGCCCAAGTGTGACCGTGCCACAACGAACGGTTCATTTTGAAATATTTATTAGGCAATTAACTGCTTGCCCAATTTACATTAACAAATAATTTTCACTGCGAAGATTTTGTTATAAGCATCATTAAAAAAGTAAGAGTGATACAGTTGTTAGGAAAACGCCTTTTTATTTTATGATTATTTTAAATGATAACTTGCTGTAAATTCCAAAAACCATTAATTTGACCTATCACATTTAATTTTAACGAACTGTATCATTACAATTAAAGTACTTAATATGTGTTGGCTGTATAGTAATACATATTTTATTTTCCAGAATTAATTTCACATATCAGTAACACTTGTCCGCCCCTTTACATTTAGATGGTCGTAAAATATTTTACAGATAAGTATTCTTACTTTATTTACATTACAGCTCTTTTATCAAAAGAAACGGTTGGTACATCGAATATTTGATTATCTATTGATAAAATTGACTACTAGTACTAGAAAAATAATTGGTACATATTTTGGTTGAATTGAACAAAGCTAGTAGGTTCATTGGCATTTCGTACGGTTGGCTTTTGTGGAAAGATCCCATTTCTTACTCTAAACAGATTTCAAACGCACACATAAAACGACAATTCTTAAGTTTAACGACTAGATTTGTGCTGAGATAATGCAAGACTTACAATTATGTGATCTACAACGTCAGGGATTGTGATTTAAAAATTCTACTAAGTAGCTCCACCGTCGTTCTCAATTTCCTCTAGTGTTAGCCAAAAACATTCGATACTTGTGCCGGCGTAACTCCATTTGTATAAAATCGCTCCAAAAATAAATTCATCAGACACTTTATTGGCTTGAGATCGACTTAGACCCAGTGAGTGCGCGTACTCGGCTATAACGCATCGTTGTGGCTCTTCGATATCGTCGTCTCGATCTGGTCGATCCGTCGGAACGAGGGCATATAGCTGGAGCTGGCTTGGGTGACTATCGAGTTGTTGGAGGAACTCTAAAACGTGGAGTAAGAAGAATAATTTACTACATAGCATTGATTCGTAGGATTGATTATCTAATGTCAAGAATGTTCGAATTAACTGAAATCACAAAAGCCGCTTAAATAATATTCCAAAATGTACCTTTTTTTGTCTGTACGAACGTCCCCGGACACGGGTTGTATTCCGGCGCACTGGGTTGACCGTGGTGGACTTCTGGGACAACCGGACCGAGCTGAAGGTGCTTCCCCGATGTCCTCGGCGGATTTGCGGCGAAGGAGTGCCCGTGGCTGAAGTACACAAATTGAATTGAAGGTTTAGGTATCCTAAATATTGGAACCCGGTTGGAACTCACGTGTTCCGGCAATGGCTGTGCTGCGTTTGCTTGCCTGAAGCATTCCGAATACCACGGCACTGAATGATCCATGATGGGAGGTCTGCCGCTGGAGATTGGGGGTTTGGGCCAGGGGAATCCCGGCTGGCAAGCGAACCGGTGAGATCAGCTGGCTCTCCGATATTCCCTTGGGATGCACATAAAAGGTGGTCATCATGCCCTTGCCCTTCACAGCGATTTCACCACGTTTCTGCGGGATTGGGAACAAAATGTACAATGATTTCGGATGGGTAAAAAGAAACCCACATACCACACACGTGTAACCTCTTGAGCACAGCAACTCCGCCGTGTTCTCCGGAACCTGAACACGCCAGTTCTCGCCCGTGGAGTCCATTCGTGAAGCCACATTGACCGTATTGCCCCATATATCGTAGACCGGTTTCCTGGCTCCAATCACGCCACTTACCAACGGACCACTGCAGATGCCCACACGCAGCTGGAAGTTGTTGAATGCATCCCCGTTGATCTCCTCCAGCTTTTGCTTCATGGCAAAGGCGAACTCAACCAGGTCACAGACACTATCCTCGGAGGTCTCGCCGCGGAGTCTAAGATGCTCATGATTTAACCCCGCAGCCGCCATATACGTGGCGCCCACTGTTTTGATTTTCTCCACCGATGCGAATCTCGGCTCCTCCAGCAATTCATCAAAGTCACCTGATTTGATTTGCGCCGTGCGGCATCATTAGACACGTGCAATCGGAAGACAATGCTTAATCAATCAACTCACAGATAATTTCGTTCAGGATGCGAATGCAGGCCTTGCCATTGTCGATGTCCTCGGAGTAGAAGTCCTGGAAATTCGGAATGGACGCGAACATCACGCCGCAGAGGTTGTGCATCTTGGAGTAGAGCTCGTCCGTGTGCTCGTCGGAAAGGTAATAGGTGGCCACATGGTCCGGCAGGATGTTCTGCAATGAAATGGTTTAGTTCATGACACATATAAATAAATAGGGTTACATTTTCCCCTAGTGATTTATTGGCTATGATCCCTGTTTGCCCCCGTATCGGACCAAATCTCCTACCTTAATTAATGTGTCATTAAGCGCGCGATTGGACTTCATGTTGGTCAGTTCACGCTCGGCCTGCTCCTTCCATATGAAGTCTAGGCGCGAGGTAACCTGGGGAATCGAAATGAGAAATGAGCCGCAAGCATTGGGCGCACAGCATTGGTCCTCTTACCTCCACCAGTCTAGCATGGTAGCAGACCATCACCAGGAACGATATTAGAAGTATCAGCATTTGGACTCCCAGGGGCATGCCCATTTTGGAGAGCTCTACCAAGCGGAAAGTGTCGCCGGAGCCGAACTTCATCATGATCAGAGTGGTGTAGAAAGCTACCATGCTCAAGGCCATCAGAGCCTTGACCAGGTAGTAGAGCTTCAGAGCGGTGGCCAAGGACACCAGGCAGAGCACCCAGGTGAAGACCAAGTACTCCGGATGGGCGCACTCCCCCTCCACGTCCGAGGAACTTTGCATCAGCGAAGGCTCCGAATAGCTGAGGTTGCTGAGGGAAACACTGTGCCCATTTGTGGTCACTGTGTAGGGCCGATGGGATTGTGGCAGTGGAGGGGTCAAATTCAAAGTGATATCCAAGGGAGTGGGCCCTCCACTGGCCGGCGTGCTAATTGTGATATTGTGATGGATGGTGGCCGACAGATAGACATTCAGCTTGAACTCCTTCTCCGCCGCGGAGCTGTTGCTGTATGGCGGCATCATGCGCAGGAATCGGGAGTGCTCGTCGCCGATGCCTATGTAGGTGGACGAGGGACACAGGACCAGTCCAATGGCACTCAGCATGCACATGGACACGATGACGCCGCAAATGAACAGCGTGCGACGCTGCCGTTGGTGTACCAATTTCGCAGAATTTGTCTTCAGGCAGCGGGGTAAACCTAGGGAATAACGTTGGAGGGTTTGCCAATGAGCTGCTGCACACTGAACTTGGGCAGTTTATGGTTTTCTATTAATGCCCACCTGGAAACTCCTCGGCCATGACCAGGACGCAACAAAAAGTAAGAATTACGGTGCCCGCCGAGAGGCAAATAATAAGACGCGTGCACCGCGGAATGATGATGACCTGGCACAGCACCATAAATATCCAGATGACAAACACACACAGCATATTGGAGCTGAATGGAGTAGATGGGAACGGCACCAAGTGGCGGGGGAGCAAATCAATTAGCAACAGTTCATTAATTAAGCGAGTCCGGGCCTTTGTTGGTTTTCCATTAACAGGCCGCATACGCACCGGAACATATCCTCCCGCAACTGGCAGAACTTCTGCTCCTGGCTCTTGTCCTTGAACTTGAGGGTCCAGGGATTTAGGTACTCGCGTCGGATTTCCTTGTTCGAATTGATCTGAATGTTCTGCTCGATGAACTCGTCGATCTGGATTTCGGGTAGTCAGGTTGTAGAATCAGGGGACTGCAGCTCAACTCCACTTACCTCCTCATCCAGAACCGCCACCGAGACTCTGTGGTCCTCCTTGGTGTCAACCAGTATGGAATCGGCACGATTGAGTCCTTCCTCGGGACTGTTAAGCTTTTTTTGCAAAAATAATGAGGTTTTAGTATGAGTCGTTTTGTAAAATTATTGTTTTATAAAATTATTATTCAAAAAAGGAGTCTCACATTCTTGAATGGAATCTCGGGTATCCAGTCGGTGGTGGACTCATCCTCAATGATCAGACCCTTGCCGTCGATGGCCTCCGCCAGGTTTTGAATGCTAGTGGCTCCGTTCCTCGGTCGCAGCTGCACTTCCAAGGGAGCCGACATCATGGCCGTGGGCGAGGACACGGTGGACATGCCGCATGGGCCCGTGCCACCGCCTCCGGCGCCACCTGCACCTCCCATTACGCCACAGCCGTTCCTAGTCCTGCGACTGTCCATGGCCACGCCCTCGACCACATTGGGCAGGGAGTTCAGGGATATGTTCTTCTTCTGCTGCTGCTGAAGCAGTTGCGTGGGCTGCTGGACGGGCACAGCAATGGTGGCCACGTACTCCAGACTCCGCCCGTCGATGCTGGCGCCGTCGTTGCCCGTCGCTGTGACCCCGCCGATGCTTCCGCTTCCGCTGGCCGAGATTGATTTGGGCAGGGCGGTGGGCGTGGCGGCGGGGGCCGCGGCAGTGGCTACACTTCCCGCCAAATGGGCGCTGCTGCGCGTGCCAAAGCGCCGCTTGGGTCTGTGGAAGCAAGCGATTAACCATCGGTTATTGTCGGTTTTTAATGGGAATGCAGTCGCAGAAAAATGGTAAAACCCAAAATAAAGCTATGAGTAAAGATATTTTCTCTACTAATTAGTAGAAGAACGGCTATTGTTCGCAGAAAAATATACCTTTAAATCAGTTCAGCAAAGAAAGAAATCTTTAAATCAATCTTTACGAATTGCAAACTTTTTAAAAAAGAACGAATAATGTATTACTCAAAAATGTGTTGTAAAAGGGCAGCAAATAAGATCTAAAAAACTAAAACATGCAATCATGAACACATTATAGCAACTTTTTCGCTCTGTGCACTTCACTTACCTCAATGGCTCAGTGCGCTTGATGAGGAAAGTCTTAACGTTCAGCATTTTGAGGTGATTGTCCCGACTGCCACCGTTTCCCGGCTCCACCTCGTAGGCATCGTTTAGGCACTTGAGCGTCGCCTCCGAAATGTGGACTCTTCTGCAGGAGGAGGAGGAGCAGATTCCGAGGGGAGAGCATT